AATTAAAATACAAATAGATTTTTCACAACATTCCAACGCATTCTTCCATCAAAAAAAGTATTATATTTTGTTTCATTTAAATACAAGAACATATAAAAAAAACCAGATATACTCTATATATTTGATATACAAGTTAAACAAAAATAAAAAAAATGCACAAAGTTTTAAACTCTTTTCAGTTTTTTAAATAAATTAAAATTTTTTACAATCAATTCCATTTTCATATATACAATAATTTATATAATTTTACCATAGTTTATACAATTTATAATAATAAGAATATAAAAATTGAAAATCATTTTTTGAGTGCAGAATATTATATATATAGATATTTTCTTTTAAAGACATATAAAATTGTAGTTTTTATTAAAATTAATTTTTTATATGATTATAAAAATATTTATAATCTATAAATTTATCTATTTATACTTTAAAATTATATCTATTTATACTTTTTTATTATCTATACTTTGTGATCTATACTTTCATTATTAAACAAGGTACGAAATGTAAATTAATAATTTTCTCTCCATAATGTGAATGATTAAATTATAACTAAATATTTATAAGTTGAAATTAAACATATTGTTTTGAATAAAATAGATAAAATTTAATAAACATTATATACAAATGATAACATTAAATGGTATTGATTGCTATATTTATGTTCATTATAATCTTTCCTTGTCGAATATATCAATTTCTATACCAGTTTTTTTATTGTCTTTTATATATCTTGTATATCTTTTAAATATAATCTACATGTAATTTAATTCATTATGACTTCTTGTTTCCAATTGCAGAAAAAGATGATAGATAAACAAATGAATGACATTCTTCAGAATTAGATCAAAAGGGTTAGTTTATTACTAAAAATAAAGGGAATATTATTCGGAAGAATCAGTATAGAATGGAAAAGATACTTTTACTGCAATATGAAAATTTCTAGAAAAAGTTTTTTACATAAAAACGTTTCAAGAACGTATTTATAAATTATTAGTATATCGTTTAAAATAGTTTTTCCTATGTCTTATTGATATCACCCAAAAAAGAAAAAAAAAAAATATATATATATATATATATTTCTTAAATATATAAAAGAGTTTAAAAAAGATTATTCAAAAATTCAAGATGTCTTGCACCAACAAATATCGTGATTCTTCCGTAGCTGAAAATGCCGTAGTGGCCTGCAATCATCATCCCTCTTATCATCGAGTTCAAGGAATTCCAGTCCCAAGCGACAGGAACAATTTTCAATACTACGATATACGTTAGTTAATTTATATTTATATCAATACATATTATAGAATTCATATAAAATTCATATTTCTTAATTTGCTTATGACTAATAACGGTATATATGAAGTAAACAATAGTTTAATAATGTTAATAATGTATTTATCTATTTATCGATAATAAATACTAAATTAAAAGTAAAAAGTTATACTAATAAACCAAATGTATAAATAATTATTTACATTGATAACCAAGAGTTAATCGTACTTAATTGACTTAATAAATTGATTAAATATAATTGATTAAGTATTTTAAAACATATTTAAAATCACTAATAATATAAATAATAGATATAAATTGTAACGAAATATTTATTAAAAAAAAAAAAACAAATAAATTTTATTGAGCACGTATTTTATGTAAAACAGATTGTAAGAATTTAAATATTTCATATGGGCTAAATCTTTAGATTATAAATAAATTTCTTGCATCTTCATCAAAATTTTCTGTTAATTTATCTTACCGTACTATAAAATAGTTTACCTATACAATAATTTTATAAATATAATTCAAATTTATAATGGTTAAAGGAATACGTTTTCTAAATAATACAAGAAGGTATGTAGAATTATTCGTGAAATATGTAATATAAAATTAATAATAATTTAAAAATAGTTTTATCATCTATGAAAACACATAATATTAAAACAATAATATTAAAACTCTATTCTGCTTAATTAATAAAGTGAGATATGTATCTGTAGAATGAAATTATGAAATTATGAAATTATGTAAATATATTCTTTACGGAAAAAAAATCTATAATTATAATGAGAACGATATGATATGTAATATAAACTTGTATTTATACAAATAATGCAACAATATTTAGATTATTGTAGTTGTTGCAAGTTCAAAATTAGAATATTGAAATAATACAAACTTATATTTATTATTCATATAAATAATTAATAATCACTGATTTAAAAAAAATATTCAAATTATTATATACTACATGTGAGTATCTTGAAACTTTTTCGTTCTTTATGTATATAAAGACAATGTTAATAATGTTACTTATAAGTACACAATGTAATTATTTCAGAAAATTACTCATCCCATGTTTCGACCAGTATACCAATGAATATTGGTGTTGGCAAGGAACATCTTCGAGTTCACCAAGGTAAAATACTCATTTAACCTACGTATTTATTTTTGAACATATTTATCCTAATTGAAAGAATTTTCAATTGATTAGTTAACAAGAGGATTTTAAATAAAAATAGTTCTTAGTAACATGCTAGAAGTTAGTTGATTATTTCATTATTATATAATTATATTGGTTTTTTTGCAGTGATTACTAATACAAATTTTTATATCGTGACATATATTTTTCGTGACATAATTTAGAAGATTTCATTAAATCTTTTAACATTATTGAACAGAATAATAAGGTAGCCAATATCTTAGTAAACTTACAAATATCCAATTATAGTTTATATATAAGCATATAATTATAATATCTCATTTACATAAAATTTTTTTCTCAAATTCTCGGCAACGAATATTTTATAACTTACATAAGTAAACAAGATGCTTTAAGTACTAAATACATATTAAATGGAGTTAACAATTAACATGAAAATATATAATAGTAACTATAATCCGTAATTGGCATAATATTATAACCTATAAAATTTCTTATATCAATATAAAGACCAACATTTCTCGCAAGTTTATTTAAAAATATTAGTAATAATACCTTATAGAATAGTTTTTCCATGATTGTGATTTAAGTATTACTTTGATTAGTAACCATTACTGGTGTTCAACCAAAGATGCTTAAATTGGTACTTCAATGTTCTATATGATTAGGTATTTTATTTATTCATTGTATATTTGTATTTTCATTATTCATAGACTGAAGCGTTCGAATGTCAATAGGTGATCAATAATAATTTGAAATGCTTTATGGGGAAATACGATTCTTTACATGCGAATAAGTCGATAAAATCTTAAAATAACATCGCAGTATGTCTCATGAATTTCAGATGGTACTATATATCAAAACATTAACTAACGTATATAAAAGAGAAACTTCATAATTATCATTTATTAGCTGTAATTTATCAATACATAAAATGAACATGAATCTAGAAATATCGATTGTACAGGCTAAACTAGTCAAATATAATAATGCTAAGGCCGAGAAATTAACATTTTATTTCAATATAATAATTATGTATTGAATAATATTTTGTACAAAAAATATCCAAGTATATATTTATCTATACTTCGAACTTACTTTTTAACGTATCTGACTTTACTGAAGAGAACATATATGCACTTTGCATTTTTGTCACTGTAATGAATATTTTTTTAATTTTAATTTACAAATATTTCAAGAATATAAACATTTTATAATATTTTATAATTTTAATAACTATAACACAATTCATTTTTTATATAAAAATTGTAGCTAAAATATATATCTTATTTTATTCACATAATAACAAATATCTGTATTTATTAAATCAACTTCTAATTATGAATAATCAAAATATTTTTTGACATCTGTTCAAAATAATTCAGAATTTAGAATAAATACAGCTTCATTAAGCATACGATACCAGTAGACATATCATATATATCAACAATATTTATTTTGAAATCGAATAAATATCCATACAAAAAAATATTAAACAAATATTGAATAAGCAATATAAATAAAAGTTTACTGTAATAAATACTGTAACATAAAAGTAACTTTTTACCTTTTTACTGTACATACTTTTGCAATAAAAAAGTACTGTTTTTTATAAAGAAAGATAATTTTCATATGGAATATAATTGAGTAATCAAGCAAATAATATTTATACCAAACTACACTCTGAAAAATTAAATTTTCTCTCAATACTCAATTTTATTTTACACGAAAATCTAATGAAGGTCTGTCTCTATTCTAAATTCTCAAATTTAAACTACAAACTCTCAACTATTCTAGTTGTTGATTAATTGAAATTTTCAAATTTGTAAAATATAGCAATTGAACTTTTAGTTTTATATTTCCTAATTTTTAATATTCAATACTTTTTGTTTAGTTGGCAAAAAGAGCCATTTATAATTTATAGAAAAATAGCTTTTTTTATGATAAATTAAATATTTTCAAGTAAACCTAATATATGTGAAAATTATTTATATTAATTATGTCATATTTTATTTTCAATTGTCATTTCTTCAAATTTTGCAATAATATAATAAGGTTATTAAGTAAATTCTTTTTAAATCTCAAAATATTTATTAAGGAATATATATTGATACTTTGTTTATATTAAATTGTTTTGCATATAAATTATCAAAATATACAAAATATATATTTTATTAGTTATATTAAATTATAAATTATAATTTATAATATATAATTGATGATTTTTTATTTTACAGTATTATCAAAAATTGTATTCATAAAGATGTAAATATATATAAACCAAAAATTTGTATAATATGCATTCTTTAATATAAATAATAAATCTATATCTAATATAAATATATTATCTATATCTATATCTATACCTATATCTATAATATCTATATCTAATATAAATATAATATCTAATATCAATATAAATAATAAATTTAATATAAATAATAAAGTTATATTAACAGGTAAAGCTGAAACAATGTCGTCGACGTGTAGATCTCAGAGAACTTTGCCATATTATACAAAATATTTGGAAGAAAAAATTTCAGAGATTCAAGAACAAAATATAAATTTGAATAATCAGTGAGGTTACTTACTTGCTTTTTACATTTATAATAATGTTAGTTGCTTGAGCAGAGCCATAGATGTACGTTTCAAATTGCGAACAATTAATTATTTAAAATACTGTTACATTTTACATATATCGTGCTTTCTAAATTAATGTTGCACATAATTAGATTAATCATATTAATCAAATATCATATTATAATACTTCAATAACAATAATAATAAACAAAATTAAAAACGAAATAATAGGTAAAACAAAATAATAAGAACAAAATAAAAACAATATATATATATGTATATAAGAAATTATAATCTTGCAAATACTTTACATTTTATAATTGAAAATCAGCTCAAAATATTAAACTAAAATAATTTAGAAATTACACTATGTAAATAATATTGAAAAAATTTGTTCAATGTTATGTATTACATTAAAAAAACTTAAGTATCAGTTTATTTTTTGTCCTTCTTATTGTCTGCATTATATATATATTATATTTTTGTAAAAGATTATCCCAAATCTCTATACGAAATCAGAAACTGGAAAAAAAGCTTACAAAATTAGATGAGCCTCTAAAAAAGCAGAATATAAAAAACAAATCATTACCAGTACAAACGCAATGCAACACAGTAAGTGAATTTTTTTAATGAATCAATTTTAGAATATTTATCATAATTCATTTATTATTATATTAGTACCCAATAATATAAAAAGATATAAAAATTCAAAATTTTATTTTTATTGCAGGATACTTCAAAATAAGATTTCATGTTAGTCCTCTTATATAATTTAAGTTATTATTATATAAGTTAAGTTTAATATTCTGACTATTTTTTGTCATATATTAAAAAATGTATTTAGTAAAAAAATAATTTATTTAAATGAAATTTAAAAAATAGAATAAATTAAATAAATTTTTCATTGACATATATCCATTTCATTGTATATATCCATTTGATAAATATTCTATTTGTTTACAACATTCACTTATATACTTTTATTATTTTCAATGCTTGCAGTCTCAATGTGAAGTCAACACTGTCATATCGGGAGTCTTGATGTTGCTAGAGGCATCTACGTCTACAGAGTTACCGAAGATGTGCGAACGAGCAGTTCAGATAGTCGAACAGGAACATTTGCCAATCGAAGACACCGACAAAAGAAGTCAGTTGGATACCATTACCAGGTAGAGCCCCATTAAATTTAAATTTTAATATCTCAGGAGATTCGAGACGTATTAGAATTTATTTTGAAATTTTTTGACAAATAATGTATGAATGAATAATGTACAAATCTTCATGTCACATAAACAAATAATTATAATATAATATTTATTAATCTTTGCAAAGTTAATAAAAGTATTTATTTATACTTTTTTGTAATAAATACATATTTTACTGCCTTAATTTAGAAATTCAAAATTAAAGATCATGTATTATACATATATGTATCAATATATATAAAAAATATACATTTAAATTATTTTTCTATAAATTGATAAAATAATAAATATAATACTAAATTTATAATATAATGTAGTATAGAATATAGTAGTATAGAATTTCCAATAAAGATGTTTAAAACTCATTATATATTATAATAAACATAATTACTTGACATTAAGATAAAAGTCTTTAAAAGTAAAATTTATGTTTAATATTAACTCTATATAATTTTAAAATTAATAAGAATAATATTCTATTTGAACAGTCAAATACTTTGATGCAAATTCATATAAAATATATATATTTAAAGAACCTACGTAATGAAAAGAACCATATAATTTTATTGAAATGGTATATTTTTAAACTAAATTGAAATTATATTTATTCCTTACTCTATGCTTTCTATTTTATCATTAGAATTCATCTATAAAATTTTGGATTAATTTTACAGTATAATACTATATATAAAAAAAGTAAAATAATAAAATATTTAATTTAGTTAACAGTTTTTTTTATTCAAAATATATATATATATATGAAAAATATAAAAAATTTGAGTAAATCTTCCATGTGATTCTACAAATTACAGATTTTTTAAAATGAAATAAGATTTTGAAAATTAAAACAATAACATTTTGAAGTTATTATTCATTAGTTCAATACATGGTTAAATACATGTTCACATTAAACTATATATTAGACTATATATTAAACAAACATTCTATATTTCTGCACCAAGACGTTCTACTTTTATAAACTAAGAAAATATATAATATTACATTAAAAAAAAAGAAAATTATAAGAGTTATATATCTATTTTGTTAACTATAACCAGTGAGTAAAAATTTTAATAATTTAAAATCACAAGCGGTATCTTAATACACTAGCTAATCATAATATCTTGCAGCAATAATAACAATGGAATTAACAGTCCTTAAATCGTAATCCAGCATTTCATGTTGTCAGTTTCATATAATATAAATTTCATAAAATAATTACGTTTATACATTGCTAATTAATTTCATTACATTCTACAAATATATGATGAACTTTTTTACTGGATTATTCATTACAATTAGAAATAAAAAAATTTTTGACTACAATAATTTACTTTATAAAATTCCTAAATGTTATTTAAAAAATATATATTGTATACGCTATACATATTATATATATATAAATACCTACAATATATCTACGAATATGAAATAGTTGAAAATAATTTTTTACTTAAATAATTTTTAAAATACGCCGACTTTTTAAGTAGGATGATATTTTTCAGTATTAATATCACTTATTGTATAATATTTGCAATTAGTAATATAAATTTATGTAATGTTAAAAATAGATATATTTGCAATTATTATAGTTATTACATAATATTTTTTAGACTATATTTTATCAGATTAGATTATATTAGTTATAAGATATATAATTATAGTTATATGATCGAGATAAATTAATTGCAATAAATTTAATAAATTCTAATATATTTTGTATAATAATTCTAAGAATATTTCAAGAAGAATTATCGGTGAAGAAATTATTAAATCAAATGTGATATAAAATATCAAAAGTAACACGGTATCCATAGAAATATATATCCTTAATCTTAACAAAATTTAAATTAAAAAATGATTATTTAAAATATAGTATTTGCAACTAAATATATAAATTTATAGGATATTAATAGATAGCTTTATTTAAATTTGAAAAGAAATTTAGCTTAAAAATTAGATGCTTTATTAAATAAAAATTAAAATATGTTTTCAAGATATTTCAAATCATAATACAAACAAATAAAATATGTAAGTAATTATTATGAATGCTCTATAGGTATATCAATGTTATTTAATCAGTATAAGAAAATAGTAAAGAAAACATGCAAATATTATTGCTCAATGTTGTATTACTACGACTTAAATGTAAAAATTATGATTCTCCTTAAATATTACCACCGTTTACAATGAATTTATAAAAGAAAATACAAAATATATAAATATAATTTTCAAACGTGTAATCCTAATTGTGCGTAGAAACTATACAATCTAAATAAATACCAGTATTTTAAAAAAAATTTATAGGTGAAACATTTTCAGAAAACTTTAAAATATTTGTTATATTTATGAAGTATCTGATATTTTATATAGTAAACGATAATCAATATTGACTTTTTAAAATTGAAAATAAAGTTTGATAAAAAATATATATTTTATCTTCATAACGACATGAATAAGTAAGTATTTCTTTCATCAAATCTTTTTTATTATATTTTTAGCTTGTATTTTAAAAAGTAGAAGCGGCAACAATTATTATTTTAGTATAATATTAATTTGTATTAGAAAATGTATTAATTAATTTATATTTTTGTTATTCTTGATTAATAAACAATTGGTGAAAATCAAAATGTAAATATTATATTATGTGCAAACATTTTTCAAATAATGTAAAAAAAAATAGTAATAAAATAATGATTTTGAAAAAAGCTAATATAAACTAATAATTAAAAATAAGCATTATTTAAGCAATTATATACTAATCTTTTTTTATAGTATTCTAATCATAAAAATATAATGACATAATTAAAAGATAGCATGAATTTTATCTTTAAATTCAATATTTTCATTTAATATTATCTGCATATAATATAGTGATTTATAAAGAATATTAAATTACAAATCATTTTTTATACTCTAATTGACAAAATTTATATTTTGAAAATATTAATTATATAATTATTGTCTTTTCATTTGCATTCAAAATAAATGTTTCCATTGTTACTTTTATATTCTATATTCATTATAAAGAAGAATATTGCAAAAATTCTAAGATGCATAAAAAAATTATTCCATTTGATAAACTTTATATATGACGTTGAATATAGCATAAATAACATATTAATATCCTGAATTTATTTCGATAACAGAACGGAGTTCGATGATATTATAAGCAATATGAAAATATTGCGCAATACGATTAAAACGAAGGAAGACATATGGAACCAAGCTTTTGAGAGAGAACAGAACTATAGGGAACATTTGGCACGACTCTCCGTTGAATTAATCACCGCTCGTCAAGTATCCGACTCGCGTTATAATGAATTACAGACTGTCTCACAAAAATTAATGGTACATTTTAATCAATTATATATATATATTCGATTGACTTGCTTAATTATAAAAATCATCATTGAAATTTATAATTAACGAAGAAGTTAAAGAATCATTTTCATTTCCACCTCTTAGTGCTATATTTCACTTTTTTATTTAAAGCACAATTTTACTTAATATATTCTTAAATTTGTTAACCTAATTATAAGCTCATCATTATAAGTATAATTTATATATAACTAATAAATTCTAAATATTTAAATATAATTCAAAGGCAATATGTAATACTAATTAAATAATAATTCTTTTTATATCGTTATATATAGTATATAGTATTATATAAGATTATGTTATTGTTTTACTGTTAGTAATAAGTGTTAAAATAAATAAATATATATATATATATATATATATATATATAAACAATTAATTAATTGTATGAAATGAACTAAAATTCAATGAAAAGATAAAATAATTTATCATAATACATTTTTGCTAAATTTGTAATGGTTAATTTGTATAATTTATTTCATAAAGAAAATACTAATTATAGATCTTAATAGTCGTTATAAAATAAAATGAACTAATGAAGGTAATCAGATTTTAAATCATATTATATAATAATTATTTATAATTTATAGGAAGCAAAGGAAAATCTAAGAGAAACCGGTAAAGATTTACTGCAAGCAAAGAAACATATTCAAAAATTACTGAAATATCAAAGGTAAATATATAATATTAGATTCATCTGAAATTTACTTAATATTAATGTAAATACATTAAATACATAGTTTTCTAATTTATAGATGCTAAGATTACAGTCTGGTCTAAATAATTTTGCTAAAACTGTGTTGGAACATTATACATTTCATTTTTAATATTTTCTAGTATTTCTGATTTAAATATTTATACAAAAATTTTACAACTAAAGAATAAATTAATATGAAACTTTAATTAATTATATAAGAGCTATATTAAGTTTAATCAGTACTTATTTTTCATTGTAAATTTTCATGAACAATAAATGAAAAAAGAAATTGATGCAGTCAATTATAATAGATTATTTATTTTAAATGGATTTCGTTATAATTACATATTTTAATAAAATTTATTCTATAAAATTAATTTTTGTACTTATATTTAAAATAGTAAGATAGTTTAATTCTTTTAATATGAACATATTCTAAAATATTTTGTAAAAAATTAAAAATTATGAAAGAAACTTACCATAATTTAAAGTACTTTCAATGATTGAATAGGGACTACGATAGGAATCAATTATTTCATAAACACTATCTCAATTGAGTATTTTATATATGTGCCGAATAGAAATTCAGAGTGTCACAACAATGACGAGTCAACAACCACAATAGCAACTGATAATATTGAATCTCGGGAGAAGCAACTTCGCCGACCTGATAGCCAAGAACAAAGTTCAGTGACCAAGCAAAAAGTGAAATAGACATCGGCAATATGTAAGAAAGAAAGACATAAGAGGAATTGAGGGACATCTATTCCGTGATCACAATAATTTCCCGCTCAAGCTCGAATACTTCAAATCTAACCCCAAAATAAAATGTCAATAATGATTCATAAATTTAAAATAGAACACATAAAAACTCTTAAATAAAACAAAATAATATTACATTTAACTAAAAAACTAAATAGCTAAATTGGTAAAAAGAATTTCTTTAAAATTCTTTTCTATGTTAACTAATTCTTTATCTTTTAATTAATGATGTAAAATTCAGATAATTCTAAGAAATTCTATTTACTTTTATATTAAAAAACTTCATTGAAATACTCATTACAAAATACATTTCGTTATGTTATATACATTTCGTGAAAAAACTATGTAAAAAAAATTTTGTATTGTAATGTAGAAATATATAAAATCGAATTGAATTTAAATCAACCATAAGTTTTTCAGATCAATTATTTAAGAACTAACATAAGTTTGATTCGATTAGATTTATAATAATTATTATAAATATTATTCCAGTTTAGGAAATTGAGAAGTTTATTTTTTAAAACTAATTTAACATAATTTGAAACTTTTGCAATATTTTTAAAAATAGTATATTCTTCAAACATTTATAAGTAATGCAAAAGTATAACAAATGATTAACGTTTATATAAATTATTTTGTTTATATTATATAAACATTATATAGTATATAATATTTATACGATATTATAAATGTAATATTTAGATGAATAATTTTTGTATAAAAATATAATACATATATTTCTTAAATTTAATAATATTACATAATTCTGTTCAAATTTTTGGCTTGAATTCTTTTGATTTAAATCTTATTTACAAATTTCTTAAAATTTATGTAAGAACATTATGTATTTCTAATAAAGTTTGTTCGATTAATATTAGTAAATGTAACTATCAGTTTTTTCATAAATTTATATTCTTATGAACAAAAGTTTTTAGTTTCAACGACTTTCTTTAATTTTATTTTTAAATACATAGTATTAGTAAAAAAATATTTATTATTTGTATAGATCAAATGAAAGATAAACGAATGCGATTATTATACATCTATAATGTACTTATAAATTAAACCTAATATATATAAGATTTTAATATTATACTAAAAATAAATTGAATGCAAAAGAATCTTATAAATAAATAATTTAAAAAATTAATAATTCATATATATTTTGTAAAGTTTATAAATTACAGTATTATCTATTTTGCTTATACGCGTAAAGTTATAAGTGTACTTAATTACTTTATACAAAATTTATAATAAATACATGAAAATTTATACAGAATTTTGTTCATAAGTTAAATTATTTTTTATTATACATTGATCGACTAAATGTTATCTTCTAAATATTATATAAAATAAAATTTCTATATTTATTTAACGAATCAAATTTTTGTATTTACAATATCTTAGCATATTTATTAGATACAGTAATTGGGTAAGAAACTACATCTCCTTCAGTTTGCAAATCAAGTCAACCAATATGTTTTACGAAAATTATTAATTACTCTATTCAATATCGATTTAAGCTATTAATATAAAACAATAAAATTTGATTATTTTAACATTATCTCTGACTTATTAATTTTATTTCTATATAATACAATGTAACACTATGAGACTTATTTTTCAAATTATCAATTTTGCTATTATTCATAACTTAAATATTTCTCTTGCTGTACTATGACTGAATTGTACTAATAAAATGTTCATTAAGTTAGCTGTGCAGTACTACTTACTTTACTCATCATATTCATAAGTATTTATTAAAATTAAATAAAAAGTAGGTTCATCTTTTTATCTATTATAAGTATTTTATATTAAATTTTATATTCTTTCATATCATGTAATACATCATCTCCCGTTATTTCTTAAAGATAAACTATTATTTTTAAGAATAATACCCTTTTTGGTTTTTATTTAAAGATATTACACTAAATAATTCAATAAACTTCTAACTTTAATAGGTAATTCTTCTGCTTAAATATTTGGATGATACATCTATAAAATCTATATAACATTATTCTATCTATAAGATAATGCATAAATATCTTATTTTTTTTATAATAAAATTATAATAAATTTAATTCTAAAAATATAATATATCAATTAGAAATAAAAGAATCAAAGGGATTAATTTAAAAAGTAATTGTCATTAAAATTCAGAAAAATTAAAGAAAAAGTTGACAATCAGCATATTAAAAAGTATGTTTTGTATAAAGTATAATTGAATTTAATTAATTTATTTTATTTATCATAATTAAAAATTATAATAAATATATTATAATTACATCTTTTATGTTTAATATCTTTAATATCTTAAATTATCTTCAATATATATTAATTCTATATATAATATTTTGAGCTTTGGTCAACTATACAAGCCAGTCAGTATATATATATATATATATATTCGATATTCAAAATTGTTATCTTTCCGTAAAGAAGCTTTAAGTGTCATTTATTCAAAGTCGCAAACTTAAACAATCATATAATTACATATCTAGTTTTTTCAAATGAACACTATTTATATATATCCTTGTTGTCTAAATATTAATTATATTCATGTATGGTATTTATATATTTATATTTATAATACTAGTAATTCAGTAAAGCATAAATAAAATCACAATTTACACCGGAAAAAGATTAATTAGAAGTCAAATATAATATGCAAGAGATTAATTAAATTACACTTGGCGTATTCTGCGACAGTAACAGCATATACAGCACAAATCGCGTCAATACGTTCTCATCAGGTCACACCCATACAGAGCTTTTCTCGTATAAGCTTATAAATCATTTTCAATTACATAATGTCGGTCGTTAATTGACAAACAAAGCTTTATCTTTGGCGCAGATAAGCTTGTTACTATGCAAATAATATTTTTTCCGCGATATTTCTGTATGAATCTATCAGTATACTATATATATTATTTTCACGTTGAAATGCATATTTTATTAAAAGCAATATCGAGCAAGCAAGCGAGAACGGAGAAGAAACGATATTAACAAAAGTATTCAACCACTGATATGAAGTACATAATTACTTACCATTCTGTAAAAATATGTATTGTTTTAAATATTGTACTTAATTTTGTTATTTATCCTTTTCATCTCATTATTATCTCTTATATTAATGCAAACAAATTTTTTCAAATTATATAACTTATATATATATATATATTTTTTTTAATAAAATTAATTATACTTTAATTTATATTATAAAGTATTTATCATAAGCTATTCCTTTTTTTATATTTTTCAAAGTGAACATTTAGTGAAAATACTACAAATATACAAAATTTCTAGACATAATTGAATAACAACATTTATTTATTTGTTTTATTTATATTTCATTCTTTACTTAGTGTATTTCTTCTAAACACGTAAATATGTTTAGAAGAGGATATTACTATAAGTTACACTTAATTATGAAATATCAAATATATATTTTTCTATCACATAAATATGACATAAAGTTTATCGTGAATAATACAATATAATAATATATTAAATGATCGATAGTTTTATAAATACATGAATTATTCTATATTTTATTAATGACTATAAAATATTCTGATATCATGTACTTTTTATATTATAATAATAAGTACTGATATTAATATTTATATTAAGAATTTTATTCAGAAACTTCTTGAAGCTGCATTACTTAATACATGATAAATTTATTTCTGATATAAATGAAAATTTTACTTACTATTAACTTTTCTTAATTACACAAAATATTAATTGAATTAATTGAACATATATATACATGAAATCTTAGAATCATTTTATTTATAATAATATATTATTATAATTTTATATCATTATTAAACAAAAACTTTTATTTTTTTCTTATAATTTATGTAATAATTTATTTATCATAAAAAATAAAGCTCTTTATTAAATTATAAGGATACTTTATTTTAAACAAACTTTTGAAGAAGAATTTTCGTTAATATAAATATTTAAAAATTACGAATGGATTATCACAGATCATCTTTCTTTACATAAAATTACTCCTACGATTAAAATCTCACCAAATATGGTATTCTTAGTTAAGAAATAAAATAAAAGTAGTTCTCATAAGTAAATTAAAAACTTACAAAAGCTCAAATCGCACAAGTCCAGAAAGCTAATTAGTAAAATTATATATAAGTAAACGTTATTTATCAAATTCATAATATATCAAGCGAGACATTACAGATCATATATTTGTTTTTTTTAACTTAAACTGAATATTTAGCCAATACATTCGATGTACCAGCACGAATGCAATTAAATGTTTTAAAAATTTATTTTCCATTGTAATTATAAATAATCCAAAGTAGTAAAGTTTATTTTACTATAAAGATATTACAATATTTTTCCAGCATTTTTCAATTATCTTCCTATAACCAATTTATTTTATATATAATATTAAGTAAACAATAAAAATTAATAAAGAATATATAACATAAAATTTATTTTAAAAATACTTAAATATTTAAAGTAGTTTAACTTGCAGTCGATACCAAAAGCAACACATTTGCAAAAAAATTTTTTCAGAACGGACAAGTATGTCTTTAAAACATAGTTTTATTTTTATAAATTATATTGAGCCTTTGAAAAATTATTCTAAAATTGAATAAAAAAATGATTGAACGCACAGTAAATATGTTTACTGTATTTTGTCAAATATAAATAAATTTATAAAATGATTAAGAACCTTGTAATAAGACGAAAAAAAATAATAAGCACAACATAATTAAATATTCTTTATACATTTGCATACAAATCTAATATAGGCTTTCATATAATAGAAAATTTAAATAAGTAGAAAATAACAAACTATATTTTTACATCAAATTAATCTTCCCTAAAGAAGGATCGCATATTCATAATTCATTGAAATATATGATAAAATATAAACTGGACAAATATAATATTTATGTAACATAATCTTTCACAAATTACGATATAAAAACTTAATAATGCACTACTATTGATATTAAAAATACTTTAAAAATAAGTAGAATTATACCGCTATATAAGTCTTTATCTATATTTAATTGAATTTATCATTAAAAATTGACTAATATATTATCAATATTTAAAATATATTAATATTTTTCATAGATAATAAAAATATAGTTAAAATAAAATGATACCATAGTCCTGAACAGTCCATATTTTAAATTAAATCCAATTATTAATAACAAAACCGATGGTAGGCTACTTAGAAAATTCTACAAATATTAAATAAATTCTACATATCAAATGCATTACATTAATTTATTTAAACTCTGTAATTGCCATAACTAAAAATAAAAATATGCATAATTTTAATTAAATTTCAGTTTAATTGTATTAACATATAACAAATTAACATAATAATATTAAATAAATGGAGATCTATATTTCTTAAAAAATAAAAATTATAGTAGAACTGGCAGATTCCATGAATAAATAATTTAATAAAAAAAAATAACATATTTTCGAATTAATTTATAAGATTTTACTAATTATTAATTGTACTATAAAACTGAAATTATATATTGGAATTCTTTAAAACATCTTCTTTTGTAAGCTTATATAATTTTATATATTTAAAAATTATTCACTAAAAATTCTCATTCATAGTTTTCTATATCTTTTATATTCTCCTTAATAATTCATTATTTATAAATGGACAATAAAGACAAAATTAAAATAAATAAAATATAATTTTATAGAATTTAAAATAAGATAAATTATGATTTACGATAATTATTATTAAATAAATGTTAATATTAACAATTTAAAATTAAATTATTTTTTTATATGAACTGAAATTGATAATCACATTTTATAATAATATTATTTAACTATAGAAATTACCTTTACAAAGAATTATACAAAGATAGTATCATCCAAAAATACTATTATATTTCTCTAAATTGGAGATTATAAGTAAATTAATAAATAAACATAGAAACTACTTTTTGAATTTAAAAAATTTTAAGTGAAATAAATATTAATATGGATATTAATAAATATTAGTCAAATTAATTTATATAGCGTATAAATATTTTATTATAATATAGCATATTAACAATGGTATTTCTAATTATAAAAGTAATAAAACTACTTTTATGTCAAGCAGTAGTTCTAAAATATACAACAATTAATTAATATTGTAATGTTCTTAAATGATAATATAAAATATAATTTTTATATTTTATATTACTATTTATTATTACCATAAGTAAATTAAATATTAAAATTAATTTCAATGTAATTCTATATATATGATGAGAAAACTTACTTCTGTATGCACTTAGATAATATTTAAATATGTTTGAACATAAGGTAAATCAGATAGTACATTGATAAAAATTCCTAATATCAAAGAAATAAAATTTTTTTACTAAAAATTATTAATAAAATACTACTGAATTATAAAAAAAATTAAGAGGATCTACAATACTATAATAAATTTATAACTTATTCTGTTAAATATAATGCATTTACAAAAACTACGCTGATCGTTTAAGATTGTTACATAATTTAATTATTAAGTATTAAATAAAATATTAACACATTTAAATAAAAAATTGTTGAGGACTACCAAAATTGGCTAAATAAAAATACATAATTTACATTTTATTTTACACTGTTTAAGCTCAATGGTTCGCTTGGACTTTACCTTTTTACATGTAATTAATTTTTTCATTTATTTACTCAATTTTTTTATATGTTCGGATAATCAGATGTATTAGTTGTCCATTTGAATAGGCGAAGTAAATATCTTTAAGATCTATTCTTCAGACCTAATATGATTATCCAAAATGTGACGAGGGCGTTCAAGCACATGTGATACGCACTTTCCCTCGTCTATTTTAGTTATATTCTCGTTCGAGATCTTTGGGCGGACCCAAGATAGTACTTATCAGTATAACCTTAAGAACTTTGAATCTTAAAAGATACCATGTCCAGTTCAGATCATAAATATACCCTCTATGTATTCATTTTCAAACCTCTTTAGAATAATTCCATGTAATTTCAAACTCATACATCAGCGCTTTACTATATACATATAATTTCATATCTTAAGTATCTATGAAAATGATTATCAATTTTTTGTCAGATTTTTCAATTTTAACTAATATTATCTAATTAATCATTAGCACATTCGACCTCGTACGCTCAACATTTTTGACGATAAGAAGTAATAATAACCACAACATTGTTAAAAGGGGTCAGAAGACCCTGCACTTCTTATCATAAACATATTTATTTCTCTCTTAATTTTAAGCAAGAATGACGTTATAATATGTCGCGAGAACGGACAACGATCGCAATTATACTACTTGAAACAGTTAAGCTCGATTCCATTGCTCTTCCTATGCCGATCAGCGTCGCATAGTTGATGAGACGAACTCTTCATTCTCTTTTTAACTTTCCTAATAATGAACATCATTGGTCAGATTATATATTTACTCGGAGGCGTGTTTGCGTTATCGCGCTGTAACTTTTCCTCAAGTATCATTAATAGATATTGAAATTAATTATTGAAAATACAATAATATGATATAATTGATGGATCGATCAAGCGTAATTATAAATAGGTGAGAAACGAATGAAACGAAAATATTTTATGTTGCATTTATTAATAATGTTTTATTAATTTATCATAAACCGTCATTGAAATAAACTACATTGATTATAAAATTCTTTTTTTTTTAAACAAAAAATTTTAATTCTTGAATTTACCCAGTAAATTTTATGATATAAAAATCAGTAGATATTATAAACAACATCTTTAGAATACAAAAACATTTATTTAAATTATTTAATTAGTATTGTTAAATTTAATGTTTATTCTATTTCTATCTGATAACATCTCTAAAAAATAGAAGCACGTTTAAATTCAATAAAAGTTTGTATATAAATTGTAATCGTAGTTAATTGAAATTATTTTAAAATAGTATAAACCAATTATATTTCAAATTAAATTTAATCAACTGTATTTAATCAATTGCAATAATAATTATAGTACAAAGACACGTAATCATTTCATATTACACATTTATAAATTGATAAAATTAAATATTTTACTTGTAAATTCTATTATGAAAAGTAGATCTTGAATGTATTAAATTCTTTTATACATTTAATATAATGTCATTTTTAAGTTTAAAGTTTTATAATTTTATACGAAAGTACTGCATAACAGGCTATTACTTAAAGACATTGTTATTTATTGTTTGTAACTGTAATTCTTATGATTAATTATTATATATAACTTACTGTTTATTCGATAAATAAATATGAAAAGAGCAAGTAATTATATAAACATTGCTGACCATTTTTGGCATTGTTTTCAAAAATATATTGATTACAACAGTATTTCATAAATATTATTAATTATATAGGTATAGTCTTTATTCAAAACGATCTGAATATTAATAGTATATGAATATGATAAAAACTACAATTTATATGAAAAATTGTTCATCCATCGGTTTTTTCATTCGCTGTCCGGGTGTGTAATGTGTATGCAATATTATCTATAATATTATCAACAATTCTATTATAATTAAAATGTTCATAAGATATAAAATTAAAAAAATTCAAATCCTTTAATGTACTAGATTAATAAGCAATCAGATTTTATGTCAATATTATCTTAATGTAAATATCAAAGATAAAAATTTTCTTTACCTATACATAGTACATTCACTCTTTCAATCATACAATGCGTAAATCAGTCTTTTAAAATAATAAAAATTTCCTACAATTCTTCCACTTTCCAACGTATTTAACTTCTCCCCACCTACGTCTTTTGTGATCAACATCGGCATGATTTCGTTCCGTGGATGCTCACATGTAGAAATAGCAAGATGTACATTCACCTCCCACCACTTGATCAAGCAGCTGATCAGTATATTTCGCAAATGCGTTACAAGATAAAGTGTTGACTCTGCATTTTGCTGAAGAGCATTGTCACATTCTTAGTAATCCGGTGAGTTCTTTTGGTTGGTTCGAAGAGCTCAGATCATCTATTTCTCACACAGTATTTATACTTACGCCCAACTGCATTGCTTCTTAATACTTGAACAGTAGAACATACTGCATATCCATTAAACTTCGCTTAGCATTTGTAAATTATTGAATTCTGCATTTCATATTCCAATTAAAATCCAAATAATTATCCAGAAATGTCCTATTTTCAGTGATTCATCTAAGGAAATTTAATTAAACGCAATTAAAGACAAAGTGTCGCTTCAAAGTATTGCGATAAGAGTGTGGGTTTTAATAACTAAACCCGTTGTTAACGAAGTAACGAAATCCTTAAATGCACCAAATCCAGAAAACTCGTGAATCTACAAACACAAGAAAAATGATACATTGATCCAAAGTAATACAGAGACAGAGTCGCTAAGGATAGCATCCTCATCTTACTGGGTTCCCTAACAGACCGTATCTTAAGATTGTCAAAGTCTAACGCAAAGGAAAGCTTTTGATTTTGAATTTAGCGCGCTTTGACGAACTTGCGCATCGGCTTCGCACCTCGGTTCACCAACACACGGCAAAAAGTATCCAACAGGCAGAGGATCGATGCGACTGATGTGCGAAGGGGACGTGGTAGCACGTCCGCGGCGCCGTGATAAACCGTATGCGCCGTCGCAGCACGTAATCGGCATTGTCCAGCAAGTCGGTGCCGTCGAATGCCACGGACTTCAGGGAACGAGATTTTTCAAAGCACTGATTGATCATGCGGGCTTAAAGACCAAGACCAAGGATACGATGCCCGGACAAGATGCTGACATGGAGCTCTGCACTGACAAAATCCTCTCCAAGGGAAGGATCCTGCAGGAGCTCACAAAAGCCGTTAAACTTGTAAGTCGCTATATCATCAACTGCCTGTCAATATCGCCCATTGCTATTATCTAGTGCGTACGTCATTTTATTGTTACCAAGACTCAGCTTTTGTGCAAAAGTATCAATTATTCTTATAAAATTTCGGAAACTTCAATTTAACGAGTCATTTTCCGATTGATTTCACAAAACGTCATATACACATTGCATTTCGCATAAGGGTTGTCTCCTTGATTGGCTAAATTATGATTTCAGACTGTGCCAACACTAATACGTTTCTTTTTCATTTATACTAATAATTTAATAAATAAATTAATTCAACCGATTCATTTAAACAAAAATTATATTTTAATATCAATTGCCTTAAATTAATTTTCTTTAAATAAAATTACTTCATTGTTATTTCATTCTTTGATCTTAACTACATCAACAAATTGTGATCGAAAATTAGTAGATAATAATTAAACTCCAAAATAGTATGTTTGTTAAACTATGTCATTTAATGTAATAGAAAGGCAAAAAGTCAAATTATATTCAATATTATAAATGAAGCATAATTTCGTTTTTTATATTTCATTATCCATCATATATTTAGATATACACGTTTTCATTACATAAAGTTTAAGTAGGTTTTCGAAGGATAAGTAGATTAATTATGTATATAGTTTTACATTGAAATATTTTTTGTAAATGAAATTATACTTTTACTTTCATGCTAAAAGCTAATACTCGTAGATATTATGGTATCGTTCAAAAACCAAAATTTTTTTTATAATTGTTTCTTAATATAGTAACACAGTTCAATTAACGCAGAATTTTAATATATTGAAGTAGTTACTATACAATATATTCATTTAAAAATTTATTTTTAAAAAAGTATAAACATTATGTTATAAAACAACGTTTATTTTCAAACATCAAAATAATATTAAAACCATTTTAATTAATAATTAACGTCTTATTTTTAATTAATATTAGTGCCCTATCAATAATATTTTAATATTAACTATAAATAATAAATTACTATTCAATTTTATTTTGCTTTAAACGAACAAAATTTATAAAATCATTCAAAATTATTCAATTTTTGTTAATTATTAAAATTTCGTTATTCAAAATTTCTTCTTAAATTTCTTCTTAAATAATGAATATTATGTTAAATCAATCAGTTTTATTATATATATTAGAATACACGAATATAAAAATACTCGAATCCATGCATGCATGAATGCATATGCATTCACATGTAAGAATAAGTTCTGTATGTCACATGGCGGGGGGAGGGGGTATGTAGATGGGTGTGTGAATAATATAATTTTATATATGTGTAAATTGTACATATAAAATAATGATTTAATACCATTGAAACATGTAACATAATAAATATATGGTAAGACTAGGAACCTTATAAATCAAATTAAAATTGAAAAATAAATTGTATGTACAATATAGGAACGCTTATCTTTTAATTTTCAAATAGCCATAATCAATAATAAATATATCTATATCTATAATAAATATAATAAAAATAATAAATAAATATAATAAATAAGACATATCTATAATAAATATTCAAAATGATTTGTTGAATTTATCAATTATTATTTATTTTCGTATTCTCGCTTGAAATGAAATAAAATATCAAAGCTGTCCGTTGATTTCTTTAACGTACTTTGAATAAACGACTTCGATAAGTTGCGGAATAGTGACTTTTTGTTTTTACTGAAGTACATAATACTAAAAAATTTATAAATTAACTATCGTACTTATTGAAAGAATTAAATATATAAATGAAATAATGAAATGATTAAATAAATAATTAAACAATCAAGTGAACTAAATAACTGAATGTATCACTTCCATATTTTCTTGAAAATATTATAAACAAGTAGTTATAGTGATAATTTTTACAATTTTAAATAGTTTCATGCACTAGCATCTTATACTTGGATTATTTGTAGGTTAAAATTCAATCAAATATCAAATAGAAAAATGATAATCTTTTTTACAAATATAAATTAAAGTAAGTTAATTAATACAATAAATTTTCTTTAATCTGAAAAATCTAAATCTTGAATAATAAGGAAATAAACAAATATTTATATATTTCGTTTATACGCGATTTTTGGCACTATTTTTAAAAGATATTTAAGTTCTAGAAATACCTTTCGAATTTTTATTACAAATTAAGATTTAAATAAAAAAAAATTTAATTGATTATTTATTTATATTATTAGAAACGATACGAATAAAATATATCATTCTACTAATTTTATCACTAATTTGTAAAGTTTCCACACTATATACATTAGCTGAAATTCATCTACTGCTTCGTTTCGTTTTCCTTCTGTCCAATTTAGAAATGAAACTTAACGGAATCTTTTGTTTAACATCAATATTGTAGTTTTTATGGTAAGAATAAATATTTATAAAATCTTAAGTTCTATTTATTAGTATTTACACAAATTGATTTTTATTTTGTCGTAGATAAAATGAAAATTTGTGATTATTTTTATTTCTGAATGGAAGAAAATTATTCATTCTTTTAATAATTATTATAATTCTATTAATAACTTGCCAAACTTAATAAGAATTTATTTTTTATTTTAAGAAATATTGAAGATTTAGTTAGTATTATTATTACAATAAAAATCATTATTACTTTATACAACAAGAAATAAATTTATAAAAACTATAATGTTTTGAAACAACTTTTTAAAAATATTTATAATATATATGAAGGTTATATTTAAAGTAGATTAATGAACATGTATTTTAAAATTGTAAAGAAATGTTTGTACCTATATTTAAATTAATAGGTTTTTTTAATTACTACTTTACATTATAATTTATATAAATCTTATAAATAGTATATTAAACTACACATTTAAATATTTAAATATATGTATGAAATTAATTAAATTTATTATTGTATTAAATAAATAATTATTTTTCCATTACAAAATAAAAATTTTAGAAACCTCTAATAAATTAAGCCAATTTTGGATACTAATGGGAATTTTAACTACTATACAATAATCTGAAATATTAGATAAATAAAGTAATATTCAATATTAAATCAAAGTCATTGAATGTCAATTATTTTAATTTTAATTAACAGTTTTGTTAATTTTCAGCATTAACAAAATTTAAGTGACTGATTAATACAAAATAATCAATTCAATTGACTCCTTACATTATTCAATACAATATTCAATTTGCAGGTCTATGCACAGAGTTTGCATGGATCTGTTGTACTTGATGGTGATTCCTGGCTTGTCTACTGGCTAGATCGAGCATTGCGTCATGGTCTACGAATCGAACGATATGGATATTGGGGTACTGCCAGAGAACTTAGTCATCAAGATACTATTGTTGTTATACATGCTTTGCAAAATGTATTAACGTCTATTGGAAAAGGTATTTTATAAAAATTACTATATAATGAAAACATAAATTTTAAAATTTAATCCTAAACGTAACAAATATTTTTTAAAAGTTTATTTACATTTAAAAATATTAAATGTATTATATAAATATTCATTTATTAAATGATATGTATTTTTAGTAATATTCTTTTTTAATATTTAATAAATATTTTGTTAATTTAATAAAAAAAATATATTAATAAAACTTATTTTTGTATTAAACAAATTCATAATAATTTTGTTTGTAATAAACAAAATTTTGTAATAAAAATAAATAATTAATTACAGGTAGAGCTTGGTTGTACCACACATTAAGCGAAGGTAGTTTTGAAAGTTACTTGGCATGTATGATAAGGGATATTAAAACGGTCAAAAAAGAATATTTTCCACATGCTCTTATAAGGGATGCAGACAAAACCAATCAGTTAATCAATTTATTAGCTGGACTTGAAAATGTTTCATTTACACTGCAGTTGGTATGTAAAGTATAACTTATTTGAATATGAAACAAATAAATAACAATTTCATTAAAATTTCTATAAAATTAACATGATAATTAATAAAAACAATAAATTAAGAACAGTTCATTGTGCATTATCTACTTGATATATGCAAATAAATCAACAGACATAAAGAATAAACATATAATTATCAATAACGACCATATCATTCTTAGTTATCAATTCATAGGTTGGTAATTAATTACTACCCTAAATTAATAACTATTGTCTTTTTCACAATAATTAGAAACATGAATTTAATGTTTAGCTACTCACTTTTTCATGCAATCGTTTTATAATTGTGTAATTGTTCTATACTCAAGGTTTCATAAGTTCGTTATACGCATAAACCGTGATTAATGATAAAAGAATTTTTGTTAAATAGAAACATTTAAAAATATTAGTAAAAAATAGTAATATATTGTTAATTTTAATATATGCTTCAAATGTTTAATTTAATTTGTACAAGGAAAAAATAAACAAATTCTTCGAAAATTATAAAATAAGTTAAATACAATATTTTACATATATTATATTTGTTATATTTAATGTACATGACATTATTATATTAAATGTTGATTAGTTTTTCTAAATCTGATTCTAATGTTATTGTAAATTGCAGTATTAGTTTAAAGAAATAAATATTTATTAGTACAATTTCCATTTTCTTCTTAAATATATATTTTAGCAATTTTAAAATAAATTGATTATCAATCATACAACTATAAACAAAAATTCCATGGAATATCTTATAGAGAATTTTACATAACACTGTAGAATAAATTTAAAATATCAGAAGTGTATAATCAATCATCCAGTATTCTTATAACAATACTTATTGAGTCATTTGAATATTTGGAAACATTTTTATTCAAGCATAAGGAAAGAAATAAATAATTCACACACTCTTCCTGAAACATATTACGTTATACCATTGTTAAATTATTGTTAATTATCTTGTGTCTCCTACTGTTCTCGTCGTAACAGATTTCAAGACCTATTCACGCATTCAAAATTGAGAAATTTGTATGTAATTTTATTTAAACTGTTTATACGTCGCTTGATGTATTCCCAATCACCCCCTGGTTACAATTATCACTGATAATAAATGGCTTCCGTCCATCACTTATGAAACGTCTGCATTGCTCATATCGATGGCTTGCATGCGCGTATATATATATATATATATAAATATATATATATATATATATATATACATGTGTGTATGTGCATGTGTTTGTCTCACTCTCTTTCGCTCGCTCTACTGTTTTTAACTTCATTACGACGAGGGCAGTAGGTTATCGTTGATCCGTCTACTCTCGTGTGCACATGTGCACCTTCTTTTAGTCAGTAGCATATATAAAATTTAATATCTATAGTCCGACTTTTTTGTGCAGGCATACAGAAAATTTCAAAAAATTAAAGTAGATAGGTTTTGCGTTTTATTAAAAACTGTACAAAAGAAACCACCAGAAAATTGCAATTAACATTGTTTGTAGAATATATGTGTATATATATATATCTATATGCATATATGCATGAATGTATGTATGCATGTATGTATGTACAATGAATAATGTTTATTTTGTAATTGTAAATTGTAATTAGTAAATGTATCACATTTCCTCTTTTTTCTTTATGAATTTTCTTTAAATGAATTTTTAAACTGAATTTTTTTTTATTGATATTGACATCAAAACTATGAAACAGCTTTATCACAGTAATATAACTTAAATCACTTTATAACTATGCTTTTGCATAATTAATGTATGGAATAAATATCGACGACTTTCATTAAATAAGTTTGATTGGAAATAAAAACAATATTACTTTTTAAACATTTTCCTGATGCTGCTTTAATAGTTGAAAAAAAAATTGTTTATGTAACATATTTTAAGTATAATTAAATATTAGATAATACTAGTAATAATCTGAAATTTTTAAATATATTTGATTTTATGATATATTTATATTTCAATTTATATTCTTTTCTTTTTCCAAACATAATCTTTAAAATAGAAATACAATGCATTTGATTAGATTTATTTATTAAAAATATATATGTATTTATACAATTGAATTTAATTTTCTTCAAAATAACTACTATCAATAATAGCTGTTTATGTGTTTCGCGAATTATGTTTAAAATCTTTAAACTATTCATATTATGTATACTATATAGTAATCCTAATTTAACATAGAAATATGAAAAAGTAAAAAAAATTTATGTTTTAAAAATGTACGATGAATTTGTTAAAAATGTTATAAGTCAATGTCTGGTATACTTACTTTTAAAATCTAGTATAGGAAAAATTCAATTTAGTATTTTTAAATATTTATTTTTTTCAATTAAAAATGCTGAACAATACAATCATATAAATATAATTAAATTAATTAAAAATCCATTTACTTATAAAACAATCTACTGATTATTGTACTCTTTGTAAAATACACAAAATAAATATAATTTTTCCCAAAAATTTTAAAGTAGTTTAATGCCTTAAGAATGATATTTTTCAATTATCATTTACATATTATCTTATAAATATTTACATTATTATATATAAACACGAATATTTCTGATAATATTTACGATAATTTTGTAAAAAAAATTAAAATTAAAAAACGTTAAACTACAAATATGCAACATCTGTTTATGTTATTAAACATTTGTTAATTATGTAAGTTATAAAATCTTTTCAACAGAAGCCACAATAATTAAATCACGATTCCTAAAGGATAAAACTGATAATTCCATTTAAATAATTAAATAAATATAATTTTATAATATTATAAACAATTTCTGAAAACCTTAATTTCCTAACAATTATATTCCATTATTTCTATAATTAAAAATTGATTGATTAAATACAAAATATTAGGAATACAAAAGTATTGATATTTTTAAATTATAAGCAGTTAATTAGTAATGACGAAGATTTTGAATTATTCGTTCGTTTTCTTCGTTACTTATAATCACTTATTACCTCAAATATTTTCAATTTAGATGATGCAACATTCATATAATGAATATTATCTTATTATAGGATGTCACGTACTTGGACATATGCAATTACATGCCCCAACGACCTATGAGTGGATCACCCTCGGGCATAGCCTTGACCTTGCATTTACGTTCTTCGAGTATCTCTTCGAGTCTTGCCTCGCCCGGTGACAGCGGCGTTGCACTCGATAGTGACATGGACCCTGCCAATGAGACTGATAACAGCAGTTACAAAGAAGTATGTTTATCTTTCAAGATATATAAAATTTATATTTAAAACAATATAAGACTACTCAATTATTGCCCTTGAAATGTTAGAAAATTATAAATTCCGATCAATAATCCGCTCGTGCTCCTATACTTAGCATAAATTCATTTTAAAAAATTAAATTTTTCTCTAAATTAAGTTTTATCAGTTTTAAATATAAATCAATCTTTAATAGTCATTTTTATTAAATTCTCAATAAAAACATTTTTCAAGTTTGTTTTAAAAAGTAAAAAATATCTAACCCGAATCTTAATATATACATCGTTATTAGAATTATGACTTCCTTATGAACCCGGATAGTTTCTCAGAATTTCCTATTAATTTCTTTTAAAAATCTAAAATATTACTTGTTTATAACTAAATACTTTATTTACTGTATGTATTGGAATTACATTATCTTATTAGTATTATAAACTCATAAAAATAATCATTTTTATTGATTGATTTATTTGTATATTTATAAAAAAAGACAATAATCATCATTTTTTATTAATAGTAATATTTATATTGGAATCTTTTTTATCTATATTATTTGAAAAATTTAGTAAAATTAACATAATTTTGCTTCTAAACTTTATTTCATTGACAAAAGAATATCACTTTGTTTACATGATAATGTTATTTAAATATTTATTTGTAATCTTTAAAATATTTAAAATATTCGTAAATTACCCATTATATTAAGTAAAAATTACGGTTTTAGATTAATTTTAAAATATTAAAACTGTATACTATCAAAAGAAAATGAAAACTTTTTTCTTATTTTACAAATACAGGATAATGAATAATAAAAATTTATATATTTTACTTATTATTAAATTTAATATAGTCTCATTATGCAGTATTATTTATTTAAAATTATGCGTTGCGTGTGTAAAATATATATATGATATGATTTTTTAATATAATATTTTATAAGTACTCAAAATCTCATTGTATTCTTAAGTTACTAAATGTATAAGTAGAATATATTGTATGCTTTAAAAATATAACTTGATTATTTTTTAGGAGGATTGGACCACTGAAAACGTAAAATATCGTAACAATAAATATAAATTACTTAATAATAGTGCTAACGATAATAAAAATCTGGAACGTTCATTTTCATCAAGTGATTCTGGAGAAGAAAATAAAACTCCTAAACAATCGCCCGATACTTCTAATAAATTTCATAATTCCACAATTACAAATAGTGATATTATTAATCAAAATCTTACGAGCAAACATGACGATAATGAAGTAAATTGTTCAAGTTTAGATACAGTAAAGGTAAATGTAGTCCCCTTTTAAAATGCTACTTACTATATTTTTATAGTTATTACATTTTTTTATAATTAATAATATAATTAATAATAATTCATACTATAGTATTATATTTTATCAACATTTTCTTCATTAAATTATCATCTATATTATATATAAAATAATTTTGTAAAAAGTTGTAAATAAATTAATTTTGTAATCACAATACAAATAAAACCTGTGTGTGTCTAATAGTCTTATTTATTACATAATTTTAATTAAAATAATATTTTGAAACTTAAATATTTAAATATAAATAAGTAAATAAAATATTGTTTTATTTGGGGCAAATAAATAAATCTTATAAAAGTAATTAAAATAACAAATTAAATCTTTACTTTTCTTTTCTATTATTATTATTATTATTATTATTATTATTATTATTATTATTATTATTATTATTGTAGGATTACAATTTGTACAGTAAAAGTATAGATGTGTTAAAACAAGGAAAATCGAAAATGGATGCTGAAAATAATGGCATTTTGACTTCATATAATAAGCGATCAACGTACTACAGCGATACAAGCTATAGTTTCAAGAAAGCCATGGATCCTCGTAATTCATACGTCATTAACAACGATACGAACCTTTTAGAATTGAGTATGACCATTTCAGACTGTGACAATACCGAAGCACCTTACAGCATTCTGAACACGATAAATATGACGGACACGAGTATTCTGTCATCTTCAAGCTCGGACGCTTTAGTGCAGCGCCGGCAGCGTAAAAAAAAACGAGGTGAAAATAAAAAGCGCGTTAGTTTTCACGAGGATATTTTCAAAATGATGAAACTCGATGATGACGAAAATTACACAGATTATTCAGTGAGCTTCGCATCTGCCAATTCAATACCAAAAAAAACTGCCCAAAAAGGAAGGTAATATCAATTGATTCCAGTAATTTAATAAATTCGCTGAATTCATTAAGCAGATTTATATTTAATGTCGTCACATTTTGTTTACAATAATTTTATATACATGCACGAAGCGCCCACAGATATATGTATATATATATATATATATATATATACAAGTGCTACTTGAAACCCAGTTTATAAATTGAATACTGTTGTTTTAATTATTAATTAGATAAAAATTATTTGATACATTGAATATTCAATATAATATAATAAGATGTATAATAATCTCACAGCTTAATTCACGAGTTAACAAGCGAAAAGTCAAATTATTTAAAGTACAAATAACAAAATTAATATTTTGTCAAATTATTTCACGCTTTTAATATTTCAGAATTCGAAAATAACAAAAACACTTTATCAACGAACTAATATAATGATAATTATATATAACTAATATAACTAATAATATAATAATAATATAACTAATATAATAATGATAATGTTAAGGTTTTATTTAATGACATTTAAAACATTCACCTTTTTAAATATTCATTATAGAATTTTTATATATTCAAAATTTTAATTCTTTAATATGAAAATCTTTACTCCTAAATCTTAATAATTTATTTTAAATTATGTGCTAAAATGTGTATTTATCTATCGAATTTTTAGAAAGAAACTTACCATTCAGTCTTTAATGTATTGTAATATATAACATCGGAAATTAATATTAATATTTGTTCAATAATATTAAAAAAAATTTTCATTTTTAGTCAAGACTTATTTTTTAAAAATACATATGGAAGACCCCGTATGAATGCAATATGTAAAAATAAAACCGTTTTATAAATATCTTTAAAAATTTCTTTCCAATAATTCTTATAAAGATATTAACGTAAAAACAAAAACAGAGATATTGTATAAACTTTCTCAAAACATTTTTTTTTCTTTTTTTTTCATTAAATAGGTATAGCTGGTGTGCTCATGGTGATTCGCCATATATTAAAAAAGTTGCTAACACAAGAACCGCCTACTCTGATTATTATTCTTCCTCGTCATCTTTAAGTATCTTTGATAGCGACGCTGAACAAAAATTTGGTGGTCAGGTAACAGTTGCTAGTATGGCTTTATCTGAGCGAGGTGTTCCGGAAGGTCAGGAAGATCCGATGAGAGTTGCGCGTCCAAAAATTGATATCGAACTGCAAGAAAATGAGGCTTTGGAGGCGTACATTGTTGAAAAAGCATATGGTAATATTATTGAGGATCCTCCGACAAAGCTTGAAATGCCCAGAATACTGAACATTAAACCTCAGGTAAACTGTTATATGCAATGTTTCTACACCAACGGAAATTCTTTAAAGTATTGCCAATTTTATTTTCCTTTTTTTATATTTTGTAAATCTTCAAATTCTTTATAATATTGACCACAAGCTATAAATATTTTGAACAATTAAAAGATGTATAAATTAATATAAGATAATACAAGATATAATAACATTTCATTTCGTCAGATATTTAAAAAATTACTAAAATAATTTATTAATTTATTCATTTCTATTAATAACTACTATTTTATTGAAAAATTAAGCATATAATTTATCGAAAAATATTCATTTTTGTATATAATATAATTACACAAATCATATAAGAAGTTATGCGGATTGTAATGTACATAAGTATTAATTCTTTAATAAAGTATTTTTAAGATACATTAAGTAGGTTGCCGTAACTCAATTCATGCTGAAAATTACTTTTAATATTGATGTGTGTTTTTAAGTATATTTGAGCTTAACTCTTTCTTAAATAAACCTAAAATACCAATTCAAACCATTTTGTGTAAAAGAAATGTGTAATGTTTTAACATTACGAATTAATCTATGAAAAATTATAATAAATCAATATTACCTTAATATGTCATGGTACTTTATCAAATAATTACAAATTAAAAAACTGGAAATAATAGAATATTAAAAAAAATATGAAAATAATCATTCCAAAATTTAATTTTCTTAAATTAATTTTTTTACGATTTCACCAGCTGGTGGAAAATTTGGAACATTAAAATTGAAGTACTTAGATATAATATCCTCATTTTCAAATACTCTTATCAAATGTATAAATAAACATATAAATAAGCATTTGCCAATGCGGTGAAAGTAAGTATACAAATTAATGTAAACACAGCTGACCGCGATTATTCTAATATCAATATTCATAGCGATATGAACTCTGCCACTTCCTCGTTTCTCAAGGCTCCTAATCATTGGCACTTTCCAACATAGGGAAAGTACGCGAGCTCCAGTGACTGGTCGGACCTTGACAGCGTAACAACGGCCTCGGATAGTACGGAGGAGCGACGACTCAGTGTCGGTAATGGGAGCGGAGGCGGCGGTGGCGGTAATGGTGGTGATGGTGGTGATGGTGGTGATGGTGGTAACGGTAGCGGTGGTAGCAGTGCCCGTCACCTGGCCTCGCCCCTTAAAAAACGCAACGTAACGTCGATCTTAAGTGGCGAAAATAGCCGTCTGCTTGCACCACCTCTCCGTCAGGCTGCTTCGAAAACTTCGCTGCTCAGTAGATTCTTAAGATCCATTACCGAGAGAAAATTTGAGCTGAAAAGGGAAACGAAGAGCGCCACAAAGCCAAATCCTTTATATATCAAAGGCGCAAGGGTGTCTCAGGGCATTGGCAGAGAGCTCGATGACGCTCTCGAAAAAGAAATTCAAGATAACGTGGTCGCAGATAAACGAGAGTTTAGTGGTGAAAAGATTAGCTTAAAGCTGAGAGAAGTGTTTAAAAATAACATCTACAGAGATAAAAATGAGGAGCTCTATAAAGTCTACAAGGTCAGGAGCTCTTACATGACCAATGGTGAGAGCAAACCAATGCTCGCCCTTCTTACTGATAAAACGCTTTATTTAAGTGGACAAAAAGGAGAGCACATGTACAGTAATCAGTTTGTCATCCCTTACAATGAACTTGATGTTATTATGGTGAGCAATAGAAATTTTTATTTTTCATCTTTATGTTCCATATAAATGCTTGATTTCATTTAAGACAAACCATTTCCATTACAAGGTTTAAATTCTGTTGAAATTAAATTTTTTCTTCTGTTTTCCTTTAACATCTATTTGTAATTGAAAATCTTTATACAGAATAATATTATATAATAAACATTTTATTATGAGTATGCTTTTTAATTTAAAAAAATCCTTATTTTGAAAAGCTATATAAAATTTAATTTATTGAATTTCAGATTGGTCCTAATGCACAAACAATATTAATATCAAATGGTGATTATGAAATGCAGTACTTATTCTCAACAGGAAGTAGTGAAAATACTTCAGAACTCATCACCCATTTAGAAATAGCTATGAGAAGATCTCCATCTAAACCTCGACTGCCGGCAGTCAAGGAACTGTATTATGATGATATGCACACTCTCAAATATTCAATTTTAGCTGAAACATCTGTTCATCCAGTAATTCAATTGATTATTTTTATTAATTAAATTTATTATCTCAATAAATTATCTATACTTTAAGAATGATAAAAGTAAAGTTTTTGAATAGTTTATAAAAATGAAATATAATATATATAATATTGATAATTAAATTTTTTTTTATTTTAAATAATAAATACAATCGATTTTACTACTATAAATAAACTTGACGAATGAAATTATTAAACTAACATTACGAGTATTGAAATACATATTTTTTAAATATTTTAATTATTTAAACTTAATTATTCTTTAATTATTCTTTAATATTGTTATTTATTATTTTAATTCAAACTGACAATAGCTAAAATTATTTACATTCATATATTGTTAATGTGAGTTTATATAAGAAAATATTCCTTTCTACATAGGATGAAAAAATTGAACACTATAGTCTTATATACATGGAAGATGATCATATTTCACCTCCAACAACACCATGTGGCCCAACTAAAGAAGGTGATCTTATGTTCCGACCACATATTTATCATACACAAAATTCTAATACACCTGTAAGTCCATGGGAAGCTGGATATTTCGTTTTAAAAGGTGGAGTTGTGTACATGTTTACGGATAATAATCAAAGATTACCAAAACGTGCCATTCCATTAAAAGGTGGCCTTTGTCAAGGCTGTAGAAGAATTCCCAATTCTCATCGTCCCCATACATTTGAAATTCTCTTAAAACCAAATAAATCATTTCAGGTAAAACTGTTTTCTATATGTGTATATGTGCATGTGTATTTGTAAATATATTTAAAAATAACTATTAAGAACTATAAAAACCATTTTTTATTTATAGCGGTCTCTTATTTATTTTTAATATTTTAGTTTGCTGCTCCAGATGAATATGTAGCCTCGGAATGGCTTCAGAGTTTTGTTCAAAGTGCTTCTGGCCTTTTTAACTGTACTGAAAATAAAGATCCATTGCCTTGCAGTCTAGTTGTTACATCAAAACATTTAGTAGCGATGAAAGAAGTATTTCCCGGAATACAACAGGGTCAAACGCTTTCGTGTGCAAGCATTGAAGATCTTTCTGCCTTTCGTGTTCCCCTAGCACAACAATCATGGTGCATATTGGTTAGTAAATTTTGTCTTATTCATAAAAACGTAAACTAATACAATAATTAATATATACTATTTTAATTAATTACTTAAAATTTATAAATTATATTTCATTAATGTTTAACAATTTAACTACTAGTAATATTTATTATAATTACTGATTTTTAATTAATATCAGTTTTATGTTTTATAAAGTAATGAGAATATCGCTAATTTTAAAGTATAATAAAAAAATTCAATTAATAATAAGTTACATTTATTATATCTTATTCTAATAGGAATTTTCATGTCGAGAAGTACATGAATGTAGTGGAGATTGGGTCGTATATTTTACAAATTATAGAGAACTTTGTGCTTTTCAAGAGATCTTAGAAACATTGTGGGCTGATATTAAATTAGTAAGTCCTTATGATTCGATATTAAAAAAAAATTCATGTAAACTACTCAAATCATGCTTTTTTAAAAACAAAACTAAATAAATGTTGCTTGTTTTGATAATGTATTTTGCTTAATAATATTTATTCAATATTCTTATTCAATTTTGATTTAAAATTATATAAAAATATTTTCAAATAAAAGTTTCCTTGACATATTTTATTATATAATTTTATTTTTTATTTATTTTAATTTATTTTTACTAACTTGTATTAATTATTCTTAATTTCATTCGTTTTTATTTATTTTTTATTTTTATTTTATCTATTTATATAATATAATCTGTATTTTTAAAAAAATTTTAATTAAAAACAAATTCTTGTAATTATTCTAATACTAACTATTCATCTATTAATGCATGGAAAAAAATTTTTTGTTAATACGCACAATATTATGATTACTAGTTAATGTATATAATATAACTACTTATTAAAATATTTCAATTTTATACGAAAAATATTGTTTATTCTTCATCTTTACTTAAGTAAATAATTAACTATTTATTCCTTATTCGAGATATCTTCAATAAAAAATATAGTATATTTTATTACAGTAATACTTCAAAATAGAATTTGTTTTTTCTAATTATTATACCTCAATTTATATATATATATATAAATTTTTTTTTTTTTAATATATTTGTTTTAGATTTTTATCACTTTACCCTAAAATATCATTCATATCATAATATAAAATTATTTTAAAATGAATTATTGAGTGTTGATAAAAATTTATAATCAAGTATATCAATTTTTACAGGATGAATTTCCAATGTCTACTTTACCACCCGAAGACAAATTACATCGTCGCTGTTCAGACGCAAGCAAAAGCCTTCAACAAGCTTGGCGATTGTTATTACCAATAGGAGCAGAGTAGTATTTTAGGAACTTGATAGATTCGAGTATTACTTATTCTTAAATCATTACTCCTTTGTCACAAATAAATAAGCGGTCCCAAGTTTTAAAGTTATGCAAAAGTGAAAAGAAAAACAAAAGTACGCGTATCATATCGTTGCTTTGCTTATCTGGATTATTTGTATTCACATTATTAAAAATTATAAAATTATAATCAAACACTAACATCGGAATTGTAATTATAAACATTAAAAATAATCAGATTCTTCGATTATGCGTGTATATATATGTACGTATACATATATATATATATATATATATATATGTATATATATATATATATACACGCATAATCGAAGAATCTGATTATTTTTATTATCAGAATTGTTATAACTCTGACTACGCATGAGTGCAATAATCGTTTTGTTATGCAGATATGAAAGTTTCGTCATTTATTTATAATTCTAAAAAGACTGTATATATTTATAATTAGTTATGGCGTAAGTGTTTACACACACATACACACACACACACACACATATACTCGCATTTATCAAAAAAACTAGGAAATAATAACAGTGCACTCAAAAACAATTTGTATCCCTTTATCGACACTAAAATTTTTTTATCTGTGTCTTTTAAGTAAACATGAGTCTACTTATGGCTAAACTTTCATACTTAATAGAGATGCAACTGATTATTGACATTCCTAGTGGCGAGAAAAAAATGCCTTAGCTTTGCAATTATATTTTTTGTATTGTTTTATATCATAAAAAATTATGAGTACAGCGTGTCACGTTAAAAGCATAAAGAATAAATACTCACTTTCTTTATCGCCTTAAAAATTGTACAGTTATCGCGACTCGCACAGGAATAAATTGTATTATATTACAGGTGCTTCAATTGTCATTAAGCAAAATACATGTCATTGTTTATGATAAAAGATTATTGGAAATTATTTATTAACAAAAAAGCAGTATTTGTATCATACCATAAGCTTTGGTATCAGCTTTAAATAATCACATTCTATATAAATCTTAAATCGAATTAAATAATAAAATCATTTATTTTTTAAAAATTTTATTTTTATCATTGTGGTCTCTTTCACTGTGCTGCAAATTGCGAGTAATGACATGCTCAAATATTATATTGTGAATATATATATTAAACAAAATATAGACTAAGTTATTACTCGCAAACTCATAAATTGTGATAGGAACTTATTAGTAAATAATTGCTAACAGTGTATCAAACAACTGTTAAGTCTGATACATTATCAGCTATTCGTGATTTATATCAAGAATTATAAGCAAAACTAAAACAAATAAGATTAATTATTAAAATTAGATATATTTTCAACTATATATTAATTTTGAAATAATTATTTCTATGAAAAATGTAATAAATAATAAAATTACTAGAACCAAGTTCAAATTAAATCTTAATTTTGTATAGCAAGAATCTGTTAAATTATTTTTAAATAATATTAATGAAAATAATATATTAAATAAATAATATATTGAAAATAAGATTATAATCGAAATATATAATTAATATTTATGATTTTGCTCACTATTCTTGATCTATATATAATAAATCTCGATGCAATGAATGTATAATGATATAAATTTTTGCATATTATTGTATTGGATTACAACGTACATCGGCTACAAAAGCGTTCAACTTCTTATATCAGTGTTTCTTGAAAGAGTTTCGCACGTGTACCCGTTACGCACGTTTTATCCAGTCATAACTGATGATCAAAGATGTATTGATAATAATCGAAACTCAATAATAAAATTGTATGGATGAACTAGTCAAGTCAGTAAAAATTACATTTTTTATTACCTTCTTTCAATTATATAATATATTTTTGTTTTGTATGGTAATGATATTATATAATACTAAAAATCTTTATTTGAAAATATTAGAACTGACACAATATATTGTAAGTATAGAATTTATGATAATATATTAAGTTTAATTATACAGTAAATTTTACTTATATGTACACATACAAAACTTCCAAACACACATGCATTTAAGAGAATTAATTTTTATACTTTCAGAATATTTAAAACAATAAAACAAACAAAATTTATATGAAATGTATTAACAATTTATATAAAATTTTCCGATAATCAATATTATTACCAAGTACTAATTAGTACTTTTAATTATTAAAAGTATTACCAACAATTAAAAAGTTTGATATCATAAGTAAATTTTGATTAAAAAATGTTCTTAATATTTTGAATTAAAAAATTGTTCTAAATATTCTAAGAATTATATAAAAAATAAAATTATATGTTTTGGAAACTTATTTTAAGAAACAAAAAATTTCCCTAATTTTATCATTTATATTTGAAAGTATAGCATTAACAATAAACATTATGAAAACATTTATTTTAACAAATTAATTGTTTACATATATTGAATATAATTTTAAAAAATATTACACAATATAAGATTTACGTCTTACACCTTTCAATTTGTTATGTCTTAAAACTTTATTTATATCTATAGATGGATATTTATGTTTAAGTGCCTCTATATCCAAATCAGGAAACTTTTTAAGTAATGTAATTGCAGCATTGCTTTCACGACTAAAAGAAAAATAAATAATTATAATATTTTGAATACTACAAAATATTTATACATGTATAAAAGTACATACTTGCGATTTTTTCGTTTTATATTCCAAAGTTTTTCACGATATAGGCGCAAAAATTTTCGAACTGCATATCCATTAAATCCAAATCTATGTTTCTCTTTCCAAGATAAATTACAATATTTTGGTATAATATGTTGACATAATTTGTAACATTGTTTCAAACCTAAATGTAAATGAATTTTATATTTAAAAGATAAATATTTAGTAGTAGATATTAAACACGAAAAAATAAGTGATGTTCCAATATTTTATAAATAATTTATAATAAATTGTTACAAAATATAGTTCTGTGCATCAATTGATAATTAAATTTTTAAATTTTATTCAATTATTAAAGGTATTTTAAATAAAGCCACGTTATAATTGATTAGTTAAAAGATTGAATTCTAGAAAGTATATTAGTAACAATATATTACAATAAGTTAATTAGTCATAATATTTATACCTAAGATATTGTTAACATATACAGAAGGTCGTTCTCCACTTTCTCCAGTTTCTAAGAAATAAAAAGCCTCATTTCTTTCACGAACAACATTTTCAAGATTCTTCATACTTTCTTCAACTTTATCGTATCTTTCAGGATTTGGAAAGATTACATACTCATCATTACATGCATGTTCCATAGTTAAGAGCATGTTTCGCTCTTTTAATAAAACATACCTATAATTATAATTTTTATATATATTTTTTTTATTTATTTAATTTGTGTATTTGTATATATAAATATATACAAATCATGTATTAGTTATTATATATATTACCATAATTTATGTAAATCCTCATTACTTTTGATTCGTAATTCATCTTCTGACCATGAGCGACCAACTTTAACTGTATCTTTCGGCCAATTCTTTGGATCGTCAAAGAATTCCATAAGATCATATTTTTTTGATGTTGTGTGTAAAAAAGCACATCTATGAACGCTTAATCTGTAAAAATAATTAATATATTAATATTTTAATAAAAGAATTTATACCATAAATAATGCTTTTATTATCATATTATCAAACTCTCAGTTTGATACATGTATAGTAAGAAACATTAAAGATATATAAATTTTTGATTAACATTTAAACCATTTCATCTTTTACATTTATTATAAAATCATAATCTTTGTATTCTATAATATTTTCATAAGTATATTTTTCATAATATGTATACTTATGCATTTAAAACTAAAAATAATCCATAATTCATTTTTCATTTTTTATTATATTTACAACGAACAAATATAATCATCTTTTAGATTGATATTTACATTTTTTGTGGAATAAAATGTGACGAAGAAATGCTTTTGTTTAACGACAGATTTGCTAAAGACTTTATTACAGTATTTACGGTATTTAAACCTTTAAATGCTTTTATAACAGTTGCCATTTTAAAGTCTTAAAGTTCTTTTTGTTAACTGACCAATTGTGCATCTAAATCATTATTACATTAGATCTAAAAATATTAATAAATATGAGTTACAGTTGAAATCTAATATAAAATCGAATTAAGATAAGTATAGAGTATGGAAATGATTGTACAAGGTTAAGAATAATGTCAACTAAACTTATTCATTAGTACGATATGGACTTTATCACTAATAACCACACATCTAAGGATATGTTTCATATTTTCAACACTTACGGCGCTGCCTTCGTTTATTAAGCTCTAATGATTACATCTTCCTCTTATAATTGCGAATAAAAGAGGTAAGAGGACCTATCAATAACTATATAATAATGAGTATAGACTCCTTCTGTAAAGTCAATCAAAATTAAATAAATAAATATTATTTATTTGGTAGGTCTTCGCAGTATTTCTAATAACATTAATTCACTATTTTAATGTTCTATTTATTCTGTTTTACCGAATATCGATTTAATGTTTTGTTTAGTTAATTTGAAGACTCAAATTATAAACCAAAAATACAAATTATATGTTTAACTCACCATTCGATTTACTTTAATTTAAAAACTATTCTAAAAAATTATAATTAATTTTTATTTGAAACAAATTTAAAAATTATAGATATTGTTATTATCAAAATGTCTGTAAAATAAGTTCGTTTACTACCCAAAATTAAAAAATTATCTGTTATCCTTAAATTTGTTAATATCTGAAAATTGTAATAATATTTATCTTATTAAAAAAAATATTATTTTTACATTATAATTCTAAAATTATCTAAAATTTTTGTCTTTTACTTCTATATTTAAACCTAATGTAGAATATACTCAAATTTGCAAATTTACATTTTAAAATTTTACTCAATTAAGGTAAATATATTAGAAACAATAAGAAAAATTGATACCATAAGAAACTGTATTTAATTGAATATTGTCATTAATATTGTATTGTGTTAATCATTGTCATTACAAGGTAAATTTATAAGAGATGAGGACTATTAAATTCAATGATTTTTAATATTGTATATGTTCATTATATTAAACATTATAGTTATACAAAATGTTTGTACTTAAATAATTAAAAAAACAGATCTAGCAACTTATAATCAGCACAATGTTTTTTCTTACACGTTTTATGTATGCCCGTTATTAGTTCCCTTTCTTAGCTCTTTTAAAGTTATCTCTTAAAAATGAATTTTATTCAGACTATGTTATATACATATATTTATTCATTTATACGCTTTATTTAGTAATAAACTACGATGTTATTATTCATAATCTATATTACACAAGATATTATACGGCCTACATATCAAACATTTTTTTGTGAAGCAAATTACGAATTTAATCTAAATCAAATCTTATATTTTTCAAACTATTAAAAACACTATATAACTACAATGATATTATAATGATAACTATTATGATGATAACTATAATGATAATATACAGCAATGATGGCTTCTACTTATATGGATAATTATATTTAAAACAATATTAATTACACAAATATTAAAAGCTATAATTAATTAATTATTTAATTATTTGTTAGTATCCTCTCAATTTATACCTTGAATCTATTAATTACTTTTACCAAAGTCTTCAATATTACTATTATTTCAATCTCAATTTTAAGATCATCATCTTTCTGATAGATATTTCTTTTATTCAGAGGGTTTTAAATTTAAAGAAGACAATCAGACTTATACTATTTTTTTCACTGTAAATACAATAAATGAAATTTACAATAAGTAGTACCAATCAATTATTCGATATAAATTTTTTTGCCGTTTATATACTATCAATGAATGTTTTTTTCGAATTATAGAAAGTTTCAATTCTTACATTTTCAATTTGACAAAACTGTAAATTAATATATAATAATTTTTATTAAAAGTTATAACAATTGCATTAAACATAAAAATAAACAAAGCGTTTTATATATCACGTTATATTTAAAACGTTATATTTAGGACTTTTTATTTAGCATTTAAAGTCCTTGTTTGACTAATATATAATCATAAAAGAAAAAATAACTATCACCATAATTTAATTCAAATTCTTAATACTATAAATTTCTATCAAAATATTGTTAAGTATTTATCATATATCTTTGTATATCCACAAGCGCAAAATAAAATATTATAAATTAAAGTTTTTTTCTACTAGTCTTTTATTTAATACACAACTTTTCAATCATACGGAATAACAAATTATATATATAAGTTTTTAATAAACTCAACAAAATATGAATTTCATTTTATTTTACCTTGATCCTTCATAAATCTTTTTCAAATGTTAATTAAGCAGTTAAATCAAATAACGCCCACTGATATAAGTGATTTTAGTAAAAAAAATTTTTATATGATTTCTTTAAATGAAAAATTAATCATAATTTAATAATTACACAGACTTATATTAAAAATGATAAGAAATAAAGTAAACTTTGGTCGTTATTAATTAAAATATTTATTATCACAAACTATGAACTAATAAGACGTACACACAAATATTTCATAAAACCTTATTTACGATCAATATAATTTTATTCTTTTATGCCTTGATAATAAATGCAGGGAATTTTTTATTTGATATACTTATACGTATGAATTTTTTAAAAGCCTTAAATTTTTATATATTAATTGATTATGCATGATAATCTTTCATCAATAGTTTATTGCCACAATTGACTAAGATCATGGGAAATAATAAGTAATTTTTCCCAAGTACATATAAAATTGCCAAACTTTTAATATTTAAAAGTATAAATTTATATTAACAGCTAAAAAAATTCCTGTATGAACTTTATTGTCTTCTTTATTTTTATATCAGTTAATGCCTTTGAGGATAGTTTAAATCAGATTTGTGTTCTTACGTATAATATTGTATAAACTCGGAATATCAAATATATTTTTATCGTGTACATAGATCAAAATCGATAATAGACACCTCTGACTGTATATTGACTTAAAAATTAGATAAAAATTAATAATTGTTTATAAAATACTACTATATACAATTAAGATAAAATAATGCTCGACAGATACATTTTTTGTTTTACACCAAAACTCCTTGGGATCAATAAAAGCTTCTTTATAAAATATATCTATATATTCATTTGTATTATATATCTTTACCTATTTAGTTGGTTATAAAAGGCAAAACTAAGGCTCAACGGCAAATATTATAATAGCACGCTTGGATATTTACAGACAGTGTTGCGTCTGAATAATCAAAAGATTGAAAACAAAAACCTATAAAGCTTTATGCAATACATACATCGTAGCCTATAAAATCTTATTAAGAATAAGATTTGATATATACATATATATATATATGCATTATATTGATATATAATATATATATTGATATTGATACATATACATATATATTGATGAATATGTGTATAGTTACGAAATTCATTCAAATGAGCCATTGATAACACTAGATAAATGAGATGTATTTGTTTTCATCTTTTTTTTTTTTTTTTTTTTTTTTGCTAACAAAGTATAAGGAAAAATAATATTTAATCTAATAAAATTAAAATATAAAATATATGTAATTGTGGAACTGTCATCATTCTCATTTAATAAATAATACATTCGGTACTTGATTTACAGATTAATCTGTACGATACAATCTTTTTATCGACTAAAAGTTGGCCTAATTGAACTTTATACAAGCGCCCTTAATTTCCATTAAAATGGATCATAGAGACTGATGTCATCAATATAAATTAACATTTTAAAAGAAATGAACTGTTGAAATATCAGAAAATAATAAATATTAGGTAATATGAAATCTGTTCATTTCACTTTTTTATTAATACAGCCTATATAACAAAGGCTTTTCTCTTCTAATGCCATGTTTGATCGAAGTTTTAATATCTGATATTAGAAATTGGTCTTTCGATTTGGATACAAAAATATTCTATCATGCTATCAAGTTTAATAAAAAAAATCATTAAAAAAAATTAAAAGATAATAACATAATATTTAAATAAACTACCAACTGTAATATTTATGAACAAAAATAAGACTAAAAATTTAGTTATTAATTTAATATCGTTAATAAAATATGTAAAAAAAATGTGTGACATTAAATGTTAAATTAATTGACTTGCTAGAAAATGGTAGATTTTATCTGAAACTTGAATGTTCACAAAAAGTATATTTACCAACTATATATCTGCAATAGCATAATATGAACATGGTACTACTATTTCAAAAATTTCTAAAATTAAGCTAATGAAATATGAAACAGACAGGTTGCTATCTGGTAATACAAATTATAACTTGTTTTGTTAATATTGCCAGATTTGTCATATAATGCGATATACAATTAAAATAGCCTTTAATTTAGCAAGACACAATTCATCAAAGATTATATATCAGTATGCAGAAAAACATAAAAGTGTTTTATCGATGACACATCGAGCATGAGCGAAAAATACCGTGTTCGAGCCATAGTTTTAAAGAATATATAATTGTTAAAATATTCGTTTCGAAGATTATAAGTTATAAAACAATTACATCAATTTCTTTAACGATAAAAAACGAATTCTTAAATAATAACAAAATATGCGACATGCTGCTAACATCACATTGTGTATATCCAAGACAGCACTTAATCAATTGCGTTTCCATATAAGGCAACATTTGACTATGTTGAAAAAGGCACTACGAGTTTTGTCGATGAATCAGTTTCTTAAGAGATTAAATTTTACTCAATATTATAAAGTAAAATAACTTTATATCATTATAAAAAATTATTTTTGTTATAATACATTATTTTACAATTTTAAAATCGTATTACCTTTAATCTCGTATAACTATGAAATACAAAACGACTAGGTAATTCAAAAAATCAAGAAAAAAGAAACATTTCTCTAAACTTTTACTAAAATAAAGTTTTTAATATAAAGTACTTTAGTTACATAAAATATTTAGAAATTAGCAACAATTAATGTAAAGTAATTTACTTTAATAAAAAAATCACATATTTCTCTCTACCTTCTGGTTTAATAGCCGACAATAACATCGTTTTAAAAACTTGATCCAATTAGAAACATATTTCAATTTACCGAGTTACATCAAATGATTAATAGAGCACTTAGTGTTCTATACATCCTTGATAAATAATATTTTAATATATCATAACCCGTAAATTTATAGAGAAATTCCAGTATATGATTTAAA